AGTGGGTGAAAGAGGCAGTGGCAGCGATGGTAAGATCCACAGCTGGGAGCTTGACCGAGGTGTATCGGGCGTTCCCGGAGCGAGGGAAACCCAAGGGAAGAGCAGCGAGACCCACCAGGAGCCAGCAGCTCTCGTGAGCGAGTGGGGCTGACCTTGGTGTGGGCATTGCCAGAAACAACTGCAGGAGATTTAAAGAGCCCTTAAGGAGTGTGGGCAACCAGGACATGGAGCGACAGTTTGCGCAGCAGCTCGCGCAGGCAAGGTCGCGCAGGAAGAGACCTTCAACCTGCCTGTAGACCTCAGCCGAGGGGAGAGCTCCAGGTCTCTGCCGTTATGGTGGGCACTCGCCTCAGAGCTAGAACCAGAGCTCGCACAGCGGGCGCTCCTGTGATGTCTGATGCCTCCACCCAGACGGAAATGGCAACAAAGCAGACGTCAGTACAGGGCGCAGCTTGCAGTGAGTGTCCAGGCGCTTCTTCTGGAGCACTGGTAAGGGCCTGCACAAGAAGTAGGCAAGATGAGGAGCTGATACATCAGGTGGCTGAGCTGCAAGAAACAGTAAAAAGGCTACCCAGTATCAGAGGAGCTGAGTTGGAGATAGTTACACGGTTGCAGAACCATGCTCCTGTGGAGACCACCAATGAAAATGAGGCACCTTGGACCCTGGTGACCCGCAAAAGCAGGACTGCGCTCCAGCCTCCATCCTCCAGCATAACTACCAAAACCAAATATGAAGCTTTAACAACTATAGACCCCCAGGAGCAAAATCTGCAAGAGAAATCTACACCAGCAGCGGGTACCATAAAAAGAAACGACAGGTACTCATGGTGGGTGACTCCCTGTTAAGGGGCACTGAGGCACCCATCTGCTGACCTGACAGGGAGGCACGAGAGGTGTACTGCCTTCCAGGAGCTAAGGCCCGAGACACGGTCCCCCACAACATCCTTCTCTCCAAATTGGAGAGCCATGGACTTGATGGGTGGACCGTTCGGTGGATAAGAAATTGGTTGGATGGTCGCAGCCAAAGGGTAGTGGTCAACGGCTCAATGTCCAGATGGAGACCAGTGA